CAGGGACACTGTAAAATAAAGTGTTACCCAGTTTTCTTTGAAGTACTTTTACTAAAAAAGTATCATAGTTATACCATGTTTAGGACATTGAAATGCCATGGTTTTATCATAGTAAATCTATGGTATTGTATCTTGAAGCATGTTATATTATTACTAATGCCATTGTAATATGATTTTGTGAAAATGTACCATGGTAACACTATGGTAATGCTATATTTTTGGACATCACTGTATACTTTAAAGTATTTGGCATTACCATGGTAGCACAAATTTAGAAGTAATAACACAAAAATGTGGTTAACAGGGATTAGATGGTAAACGTAAAACTGCAGTATATTCAAAATACATCATGGTACTATACCAAAATTTATCTGAAATTCATGCAATGCCATCACTGTACCATATTTACTACCACCATATTTTTCGTAAGAGTCTAAATACTATGGTAATACCATTATTTTTGTTCTACATTCATTATTGTATTCTTTAAACTCTGGTCTGTAAGATTTTTTAAATGTTTATGAAAGACATCTCTTATGTTCACCAAGGCTGCATTTATTTGATCAAAAAGTATATATATACACACACTTGAAATAGAAATCTTTGGTAACATTACAGATGTCTTTGCTTCAAATGAAAAAGTATATAGGAATAGAGACATTAAAAATGTCTACTCAGTCCTACTCACATTCTCTAAAGACCATCAAAAGCTCATATGTCAGTTTCATAAGTGCAAATGATTAATTGTCAGTTTCTATTGATTGTAAGTGAAAAACTGCTGATAAGGGGCATGCTGCTTGCTTGCATAAGCCATGAGGAACTACATTACTCTGTGTGATGAAGGCAGTGCAACATGGGCAACATGACAGGATGTGATGCGTCAGCAGCCCTGCAGCCCTGTAACCTCCTTGTGTCTTGGTCTCTTAAGTCAAATCCTGCTGTCTGCTAGTTAGAAGCGACAGCGACACCTCATCTGTCATCCATGAACGAATGATGACGCACATGGGTAGCCAACTGGAGATCAGGTGAAATCTGCCCTGACACTGTTAGCTTTGGGGAGAATCTAATGTCAGAATAGTTATAAGGGCATACCTGAAAGGATTTATATATGAGGACAGCACATGAACACACCACACAAAAAATACAAGATTTTCATTTACTAAATCATTATAATTGAAAACAGTCATTGTTCTAACAATTGTCTATTTATGTTAACAAAATTTTTTATAGCAAAGAGTTTTTGCAAATTGTTTGCATTTTCATGAATTTCAAATTGTGAGTGGGACTGAACCACAAAACCATTTTGTAGTCTGTCTTATTGAATTCAGAATATAGAATATTTTCAGCTCACCTGCTGTGCTTGCTAGTTCAAATTAAAAATATGTATTATCAAAACTTCTAATACATATATATTTTAACAAAAGCTGCTTTGAGATGCATTGTTCCTGAAAGTTGCAAGTTGTTGAACTTCAGAGTTTTTGCCATATGAAATTAGATTTTTAGTCTAGTATGTAATAAGAAAAATTACAATAATAAAAAAAAGTAAATGTTTTGTTTAGGGCTGATAAGCAATTAAAATTTTTAATCTAATTAATTACATGATGTGGCGATTAATTAATCGAATTAATCGCACATTAATTCTGGCTGAGAAAGATCATTTAAAGTCATTGTTGTGTAAAGCATCAAACAGACATTACAAAAAGTCGCTTCAGCAAGAAATATTTTGTTTGATAAAATTTGTTACATATTCTATTTTGGATCATGAGGGTGAGTAAATGATGACACAATTGTCATTTTTGGGTGGGTGAACAATACCTTTAATAATTAATTGTATTAATTTAATTATTATTACTATGGAAATATGAAATGATTTCTTTAATGAAATTATACTCTAAATAAGAAACTAAAACTGCCAGTAGGTGGTGGTAAATGTCTTAATTATTAAGTCATCGAGTGATTTATTCATTCGTTTGATTCATTCAGGAATTAAGTAAATGGTTCTTTAGGAATGGTTCATTTTCGCTTCAAATCCATTGCGCCTATGGCCAATGGTTCAACGTGCCAAATGGTTCACTCAATTCGTTCAAACCATGCAGTAAGAAATGAAATGTCGCTGTGTGTTGCTCGGAGACGAACAGTTCTGCTTTGTCTATATTTTCGTTGGCCAAATTGAGCAAAACAGACAACATTGTGTCAATATTACACAATATTAACTTCTTACTTACTGAACTGTTGTATAAGATCAGTATCACATTTGCACTCGTGTGATATTGCTTAACTATATGATGTAAATATGAGACAAAAACTCAAACGTGGCATTTTTGCCCCATATCTTGAATTTTAGGGACATTCTAACTACGTTCTCTAGGCTCTGTCACGCAGTTGTTGCCCTGCCTCATATTTGTAATCAATTAACTGTATGAAATGTCAGATGAACCACATAGGTCTGGGGCCCTAGTTTTGTTATATTTCAGCATCATTCAGCATCATCGTACTAAGTCTCTAAAGCTTACAGTTAAAATGCTTAAAAGTCAGGAACATGAAACCCATTTTACATCCTTGTATTTCTGATTGAAACTGGATATTCAAAGAGACAAAAATATTGCAAACTTGGTTATATCCATCTTCAGTGGTATTTATAGTGAAAAGAGGTGGTCACATAACAGAAAAGAAGTAGGTCACTGGCAGGCAAGGTTAAAAAATAAGAGGCATTCATTTACATTACATTTTTTATTTGGCAGACACTTTTATCCAAAGTGACTTGCATGTCATTCAAGGTATACTTTTTATTAGTCATGTACTCCCTGGGAATCAAACCCATGACCTTGGTGTGGCTTATGTTTCGATGAATTGTGCATGCTTATACATGAATATGCATTATAAAGCTAAATTTAGACTTTAAAAAAAAAGAGTGATTAGCAGTTGCTATGTGAGTTTGCACATACACTGAGCTAATGAGAATGAACATGAGATAGTGTCTGTTTGGCTGACACAACAGAGACAAAAGACAAAGATAAATGAAGATAAAGTATTTTAAACACCACGACCCCAAGAGTCACACTAGAATTTTCCACACTTTGAGCCACTGCAGTACAAAGCAAACTTCTTTTTAAGACGCTCCACGCAGTATTTGTTTCACCTTCTCTGTCGTGTGCCAATTTAAGCCCTCAAGACTATCAGAGCAGCAAATAAAAGGCACCTTGCAGGTGAGAACTAAACAAACTGAGTTTGGAATTAAAGGCCCCAGCTTCCAGTCTAAACTCAATCAGATTCCCTTCCCTCTCTCTCACTGAGGCAAAGGCACCCTAAATTAAACTGGATGGAATCAATGTTCACCGAACTAGAGACAAAGAAAAAGGGGCTTGAACTTGATGACCTCTTCATTATGATTTGAATATGAGTAACTTAAGAACATCAATTACGTGAAAATTATATCAGAAAATTCTGGGAATTTTCAAGACTGGAAACTTTCCATGGGAATAAACTGGAAATTTGCTAAATCGCAGGAACTGGAAACTTAAATGTAGTTGAGAAAAAATCTTGCAGCATAATCTTGGTTAAAACAACCAGATTTAATGCAATTTCAGTTTAATTTCTACCCTACACACTGCTCAATCACATGCATACAGCACACTGCTTAGTGCAGGGCTATTGAGGCCACACCCCCTACATGCACTGTGCTTTCCTCCATAACATGAACAGATAATTTCTTAAATCCTGCACACAAAATATCAAAATGTCCATCTTGTAAATTACATGAATAATACAAAAATTGTGTTTAAAACTTAATTGTGCTGTGTGTAATATACAGTGCAACTAAAATAGGCTATTCCATTGTAAAAACAAATACACTGACTGAACAAACATTAGGTGAGATAATAATAAAACAGAAGTCTAAAACTGACCCTCCCCCACACACAATCCCCTCTAGTCACCTAAGAGGGCGATTCCCCTCCATTTTCTCTGAAGCACTTGCTGCATTTGAGCCCTGTATTACAATTTAAAAGAATGGTTTTCTGTTTTAATATACTTTAAAACAATGTATATCTGTGATGCAAAGCTGAATTTCCAGCATCATTACTCCAGTCTTCAGTGTCACATGATTCTTCAGAAATCATTCTAATATGCTTATTTATGATCAATTTTGGAAACAGTTGTGCTGCTTATATATTTTTTATTGCCTGTGATTCTTTTTTCAGGATTCTTTGATGAATAAAGTGAAAAAAAGAAAAAAAGAACAGTAGAAATCATTTTTTAACAATACATTATCATTCAAAAGTTTGGGGTCAGTATCTTTTGTCCAATTTTCCAATTAATTCCCATAAATTCCCAAAAATTCCCGGTAAGTTTCAAACTTCGAATATTTCCAAAATTCCCCAGACGAAGTTCCCATAGAAAGTTTCCGGAAAATTTCAAACCTTCAAAACCCAAATAAAATTAAATCAAACTTTAATTATGCATGTAGCATGTATGCATGCAACGTGCCTTACGTTTGCATGTAAAACAAAAGTCCAAAAGTCTGGAGTCAGTTTTTTATATTTATTTATTATTATTTATTATTATGTTTTCAACTGCTGAAAAATTCATCTTTGCCATTACAGGATTTTTTTTTTTTGTATTCAGTGTATGTATTCAAATAGATTTTTTATTTGTAATATTTCACAATATTACTGTTTTTACTGTATTTTTGATCAAATATATTCAGCCTTGGTAAACATAAAAACATTATTACTTCTATCAAAAACATAAAAAAATCTTACAGACCCCAAACTTTTTAAATACTTAGAATGGCTATTATTGCTGCCCAGTGTTATAGGATACGTTTCACAAAATTTCTCAAGAACTCTAGAACATGAAATGGTCATATTTTAAACGAAAATCAAAATAAAAAAAATACATTCCAGTAAAAAAAAAAAAAATTGGAGTGAAATGTGACCAGGACATGTCTTTGTGAGTTTCACCCTAAACCAAATATCCTAGGTTGACAGACTATTACTCACCTCCAAGAAACTGCATGCCCCCCGCTGCACGTCCGATGGTTCTGGAGATGAGTTCTGATATGCAGCAGCCCATGACCGCGGTGAGCGCCACCAGCAGCAGCAGGCCACATCCAACTCCCGTCACGACTGTACAGATCCGCCACTCCATGCTCGGAATACCCTGAAAGCTTGCATAGCGCCCACATTGCTCCAGCATGATCGTAGCCTGCCTCTCTTCGTCCCGAATGGGGTACGAGCACCGCCGGAAAGTACCGAAGGACACTGGCTTATCCATTTGTGAGCCCAGCAGCCAGTAGGGCATGAAGAACCCCACGCAGGAAGCTGCTGCGCTCAGCAGGGACACCAGAGCCCAGATCATCCCCGTACACGTGAGGCTGGATGCCATTCTGGAGAAATGTCTTTAAATATTGGCCACAATTCCAGAAGAAAGCTTGGAAAAGAGGATACACACACACAAAAAAATCAAAATCAAAATAATGATTCCTTTTGCCTTGTTGGAAAGAGGATGTCTAGCTCCATACAGTCTTCACCATTGTTCTGTGTGCAGTCACCTGAGAAGACGCAATAAAACACATTGTCCCCTCAGTCTTCACAGTAAAGATTCACAATTCCTGTTATATATGCAACAGCATTCATATACACTACCAGTCAAAAGTCTGGGGTCAGTAAAATTTGTATTTATTTATTTATTAAATTAATTAATTAATACTTTTATTCAACAAGAATGCATTAAATTGATCAAAAGGTACAGTAACATTTTTAATTTGACAAAACAATTATATTTCAAAGAAATATTGCTATTTTGAACTTTCTAGTAATCAAAGAATCCTGAAAGCCATAGTTTATTGTAATCAGCACAGTTGATTTATACAAACAGCCCCCAAACTTCTGAACAATAGTGCACTTTTTAAGTTTAGATTATGTGCCCAAATGTATCTGGCCACTTAATTTGATCATTTTACTGCACATTTTCTTTCTTATAGCGTTAGTGATTAGTTGTGCATTTCAATATAATATGAAAATATATTAATCAAAGTTTTATAATATTAACTAATGATGTCAAGCTTCTGAAGTTTAATTTAATGTTTGTTATATTGTTAATTAAAGTTGCCACTCAACTTTTTTCATATAAGGTTGAGTGTGGAGTCTAACATCTAATATTTACACAGAATATTACAGGTGGTTACTAGCAAAGAAAAAGAAAAAAAGAAAATGTCTAAAAAAGTTCCATGTGGTAACATCTACATTTAACGATTTTATTAAAGTATTTGATATGACTAAACGAATCTGAATACAGTAAGTCGAATAGAAACTAAATTTAAGGGTCGGAACATTTTCACACATTTTCACTTTTCACTGCATGGATCTCTTATTAATAAGACATAATATGCATGATATATCAGCTGCGCTCATATAGCGTATGTGCATTTATATTTTAGGATGTTAAGAATTATTATATAATGTTATCATAGGTATTAATAATATGAATCTAAATTACTATGAAATCTCAAACGTCTAATATTTACAGAAGATAAAGGGGGAAAAAATCCTACAAAGCTCAACAGACTGATAATCTATTATTAGTGCCACTTCATGACAGTCCTATTATAAACAGCTGCCATGCAAAAGACGCCATCATGCAAACCATAAATATTCATAAAAACATCGTATGTGATAACTTACATAGATATATTCTGACTGGTGTGTTAATTTCAAATTCCGGTCCAGCTTCGTGTGACCGTGGAGAAGAAATAAACTTTGTCCGCTGAACGGAGCGCAACTCGCGGTACGCGCGCAGAAAACATGCATTACATTCCTTACATGGAGTCTGCTGAGATCTGCTTGTGTCTTTCTGTTTATTTCACTGTCACTCCTGCAGGAAAGCGCTAAAATAATCCCAGTGTATTTCAGAAGACACAAGAAATATTGAGCTGTGTCCGTGTCCACGCACTGAGCGCTGTGTGGCAGCAGACAGACTACACGAGTCCGAGGCGCGCTCGCTTGCGCTTGGCTCACTCACTCGAGGCTCCTCCCACAGCCCTGCTGCCTTTCAATCAGCGGGGCTAGTTGTCACACTTTTTACTCCAGTGTATATTTCACAGGGTAAAATTATTTTAAAATCAGTTTCTGTACAGAAAAAAAAGATCATATATGCCTAGGGGAAAAAGATGCAGTTCATTTACCATACATGCACGCTTTTCAGTGACTACCTGGGTTAAAAAATAAATAACAATAAAAATAAGAATAAAAACTAAAGACAGAAAGAAGAAAATCAAATAAATAGTCCACTTAAAGCAAGGGTTCATGGACCCCCAGGGGCCACAAGGGAGTACTAGGGGGTCAATAGAAAAGTTTAATGAAGAAAACGTAAAAAAGTACAATCAAATAAGTAATAAATTAAGTTAATAATATTGAACTAACTTTAATAAGATTAAAATAACTAAATATACTAAACCAACCAACTAACTTTAAATAATAAATAATACAACTAAAATAGTGAGTAAAAAAAAAACAATTAAAAAAACATGATAATGTAATGTAATAAAAATAAACAAGAAATATAATGTAATTAAACGTAAGAAACTACATTATTTTCCAAATGATATTTTACACACATTTACATATATACATTTTTCAGATAGAAATTAAAATAAATTCTCTAAATTAGGACTTGACTAATGAGAGCAAAATACGCCATTGACTAAAAAGCAGCTTAGGGAGAGTTGTGATAGGGCTGAAAGGATGGAGGAGTATGTGTAAAGCTCAAGAGATGCTGGTGCAAAGTGGTGCATGCTGGAGGAGTGATCACAGCTGTGAATAATTCACAAAGGCTTCACATCCAGAAACACCACAGAGAGCGTAACCCTGTGACTCCCCTGCTTTCTCCATTTAATCCCTCTGAAGAGAAATGGGCTGAAATTCAATTGTTTTTGCCCTCTTGGGTGCAATATCTGTAGTTGTTGTGATTATTCATTGTCAAGGTAACTCCTCTTTTCCCTCTGGCAAGGTGAAGGTCAAGGCACTGGTTTAAAGTGATTTGTTGCATTTTAACAGCATTTATAGGTGCAATTGGTTGGGGAATTCAATTGACAGCAAGTTGTGTCACCTCAAAAGACCACTGTTTTGATTGTGTTTGTGAACTTAAGAGTTCAGGTGGTTAAATCCCCCCGGAAAAAACACTTTCAATCTCACAGGTCTGACAGATTTTTTTTTTTTTGACGTTTGAGACCTTCTGTTGACTTTGACTGCTTACAACTACTTCTTTTTTTTTTAACATTGAGCAAATGTTTCTCCTAACTCTAAGCCTCAAATCTTTCTGCATTTCTACTTTTTCATTAAGATATTATTTTTCCTCATAAGAATCACTAGCTTGTCCCCACAATGTAGGTAATTTCAGGTTTTATCTTTATGGGGACAATATTAGCCTATCTTTATGCACATTATTTGGTCCCTGCATGTATGCAAGACCTGACCCACATACATACGCATTTATACGGTATCTAACTAAATAAGTATTTATTAATTATAATAATTAATAATAATATTTGTAATAATTATTATATTTATATTAATATATAATATAATTTATATATTATTATATTATATATAAATAGCCTATATTTATTGTCTACATTTATTTAATAAGATATGTTTTTTCAAATATATCAAAATGCTTAAAACATTATTGGTCTATGTAGAACATTAGAACATGAAACATTTCACTTCAATGACACCCTCAAAGGGTGACACCGTAATTTCTGGAGATTTTAGTTTTTTTACGCAAACGTCAACAGCTCGAGGCGCGGAACTAATGTGTCGACCTCTTGTTGTTGCAGTGGGACGTTTTTCTGGTTACTCAAAACAGCTTCCTGGAGGTTGACGTGGATGTTGATGATGGCAGAGACTAAAGCAGAGCTGTCAATTGATGCTTCAAACCTTCACACCTCTAACAGCAGCGGGAATGCTTCCTCACAGCCCAACAACCCTCTGTCCAGAAAACTCAACAAGATCCTGGAGACCAGGCTGGATAATGACAAGGTTTGTGACAGTCTGTTCGCATTTGCTAACTTCTTAGATCGCAGTGCACCTGTCACTACAAATTGTTTGCACGTAGTTAATTATAACAACAAAATAATAAACATAATTTCCGAGTCTCTAATTTATATATTAAATTGCACATACACTTAATTTTTCATTCAAATGTTTTGCCATGATGTGTCTGATTCAAACATGGATGGTAAAACTGTCCTCAATTAGAGAAAGGATAAGTGCCAAAATGTACCATGATATTATATATTATTAAAAACAATGATACACGGTAAATAATATTTCAGTAGCATGGTGTTCTGCATGTCAAACCCTTACAGAAAAGTACATTTGTTCACTGTTATGTTATAACATGGTAAATCTTCAGGGTTTGGACAAAGTAATATGAACACTAATTATTGTAAGAGTGAATATAGTTCGTGTAGGTTATAGTGAAAAAAACAAATGTTTCAATTATTTTTTTATTAACTTCTCATTGTCTATATTCTCTAGGTTGTATTTCAGTGTATTAAAGGTTGTGTTCAGGAGTGCTTAGTAAAAGCCATGGGTGAAATAGGACATTTGTCAGACTTCCCCCCAAAAAAGGGCAAATCTTTGAAATCCATTTAGCATGAGCATCTGTAACCTTACAGCCAAATTGTTTGGTGTTTTAAAGGGGTCATATGATGTTGCTAAAAATAACATTATTTTGTGTATTTGGTGTAATGACATGTTTATGTGGTTTAAGGTTAAAAAAACACATTATTTTCCACATACCGTACATTATTGTTTCTCCTCTATGCCCCGTCTTCTGAAAGGCGTCGATTTTTACAAAGCTCATCTGTCTGAAAAGCGAGGTGTGCTCTGATTGGCCAGCTATCCAGTGCATTGTGATTGGCCGAATACCTCAAGCGTGTGACGGAAATGTTACGCCTCTACCATACTGTGATGCCCTGTCCGGCCGGAGCAACAAGACAAAAACATTCAAACTCATTTTAAACGAGGCATTTGTTGCATTCTCTGAGAGTCGGATTATAATGACTTATACTGTCTTTTTAGGCGTTGCATCGTGCCGCATAAACATAAAACCATGTCTGCATTTGTGATCGGAGAAATGACAAACAACAAGCCCAACTCTACACTGCTCAAAACTCGCGTTTGAATCGTCAGTGGCAAGTCCTTTAAATACGAAAACTCACAGTCTGTGAGTCAGAACAGCCGGCATTGTAGTCTACTCTACCAGGATCAGTAAACAGTCCTCCATAAAATGCGCTGCACACATCTGAATATTTTGGTTGAACTGTTCTGGAACAGTGTTGTAAATACAACTTAACCACTGATTTCTAGTCGTGTCCTTTTTTGGAAGGCCAAACAAAGTAGTTTCGCTTTCACAACGAAACACAAAGCGCCTTCACGACATGGCGGCAGCAACAATACTACAGCGAGAAAAAAAGTTACGCCTTTCTTTGCGTGAACATTTGGGCGGCGTTATGCAAATCTTCCCACATCGTGAAGTAGGGTTGTGCGATATTGAAGAAAAATGCGATAACTCATTAAATAATGCGATATTCGATATGCAATACGATAATGCTTAAAGTGCCACATGCTCAGATGAAACAGTTTTACTCAGCTGTTGCTGAGTCAGTTCTGTGAACTTCTATAACTATCTTGTGCCATATATATATAGATATGGTTATTTGTATGTATGTATGTACCAAGAGTTCCTGTAAAACCACAACAAATTCCTTGTGTTTGTTTACACTTAAGTGGTGAATAAAGCTCATTCTGATTCTGATAAGAAAGCACCCCTACAACAACTTCTGAAAGTGAACGATGTTTATTTTACTCGAGCATTACATAAAAATGTCATTTTAACATGAGTTTAGGAACTGAATAATAAAAAGGAAAAATAAAACACTGCTTAGTATTTACTCTTTGAATTCAATATGCACTGATTCTTATTTAAGCTACAAACATTATTTAGGTAAGAGCAGTTGATGATTTTCTCTTTGTCTTTTGTTCATGGCCCCAAATATTGCAAGCTGTACCGATATGCATATTGCGATATGTACATTTGAGATTTTTCAGTAATTTCGATATATTGCACAGCCCTATCGTGAAGTAGACATGTGGGGGCTTGTTAGAACGAGCCGTTTTAGGTAGGCGTGGTTGACTCTTAACTTTTATAAAGAATGTCTCTTTGGATTTGAGACTTTAGTCTTTGCAACTATACAGATCTTCTTTATGCACCAAGAGCTTGTAACACTTCAAAGAGAATGGAAAAATTGAAATTGCATTTAAATGACCCCTTTAAGAATGCGATTAAGACTATGTACACAAACCTTGGCAAGACTTCATCATTAGTGAAGCACATAGACTGAAGCACAGTGGGCGAAAAGTAAACGACGTGGATGAACATACTGAAATTCTTGTGCTAGGTATTTATATGGTACTCCAAGGTACTAAAATAAAAAATACTATGGTACTACCATGTTTCATGTCTGAAAAATATTTTTAGTTTGTTTTGTTTTTTAATACGTGGAGAAGCATGGTATTATGATATTTTTTTTAGACATGGTACAATGGTAATGTCAAGGGTTTTTTTTTTTCTTCTTTTTTCAAACATAAATTATGGTGCCATATAATGTAGCCTATGGTAAGGGTCAGTAAGGTTTATTTTTTCTTATGTTTCTTGAGCATCAGATCAGCATATTAGAATGATTTCTGAAGGGTCATATGACACTGTGGACTGGAGTAATGACCGCTGAAAATTCACAAGAATAAATTAAAATTTTAACTATAATAAAATAGAAAACAGTTATTTCAAATTGAAATAATGTTTCATGGTATTATTGTTTTTACTGTATCCTTGATGGGATAAATGCAGCTTAAGAGACTTTTCAAAAACATTAAAATAATCTTATCAGCTTTTGAACATTAGTCTATAACGAACAACCACAGAATTGCCATATCATCGCT